TTCTTTCTTTCTTTCTTTCTTTCTTTCTTTCTTTCTTTCTTTCTTTCTTTCGACACGGCTTCTCTGTGTAACCCTGGCTATCCTAGAATTCATTCTGCAGACCAGGTTGGCCTCGATCTCACTCACAGAGATCCACCTGCCTCTGCCTTTCAAGTGCTGGGATTAAAGGCAGGTGCCACCACCACCACTTAAACAGGTGAGGCAGGTGACAGAATGGCAAGCAAGGGGACCCTGAGACAATAAAACAGAGCTCAAGCAGGGCGAGCTGAGCAGAGTGTTTTTGTTTGCATCCTGTTGACGTGATAAACATCACGATCAGTGATCAGCTCAGCCTCAGGTAGGGAGCAAAGGCTTTATCTCATTCTACAGTTCGCAGTCTGTGTGCAGGGAGGGCAGGGCAGGCACCTGGAGGCAGGAATTGAAGCAGAGGCTGTGGAGGAGCCCTCTTTATTGGTTTGTTCCTCAAGGCCTGCTCGGCTGAACTCACATGCTAAAAGGAGCAGTCCTATGGGAGCCCCAGAGACCCCAAAGTCCAGGGAGGAGAAAACCCAGCCAGGGGTGTAAGTTTTGCTCTACTTAGATGGCAGGAATGAATGAAAAAACTGCATGGCATTTTAGAAAGGGGGTTAAAGATTATTTGATTTCTTTTTTTTTCTAGTGATTGTTAAAATTTTTATTTTTGAAAAATAGTAAGATTTTCTTGTTCTAAAAATTCAAAAGGCATCAGGGAAAAAATAATAAGACAGTAAAAAAATTCATTCAGTGTTCAGCCACATGACGGGCCAGCAAGCCTCCCGTCGGTTCAAGTGCCTCTCTCTCTCCTCCTCTCTCTCTCCCTGGCAGCCCCATCACGCTCTCCCCCCCCACCCCGGCAGCCCCATCTCTCTTTATAAATCCACGCAAACGTTTTACGCAAGTGCTTCAAGCATTCATGCTGATTTGCAGCCTGCTCGCCCCCTGCCCTTTGTAATTTTATGCTCATTGTAAACTTTCCACGCTGGGCATATATTACTTTTATAATCTGGAACATTAAAAAAGCCAAAGACCACAAGAAATAAAGCAAAACCCACAAACACAGGATGAGGGCGCCCTGGCCAACTAGCAAGGCAGCAAAGAAAGGCTTTGGGGTTTGGCCGACCACAGACTCGGGCGGCGGCGTGAGCTGACGGCATGGAGTGGGCTCTGATTACAATCTGGTCCATGCTCTTGGGTGATTCCTCAGTTCCTGGTCTGAGAAAAGAAACGGGCCGGGCCGTGCAAGCAGGCTTCTCTGGGCTCGACCTGAGGTGGCTCTATAGCTCTGTGAGCCCCACCTTGCAGGTCTTAGCACACCCACCCGCTGCAAAACCAGTGTGACGATAAGTTCGCGTGTGTCCTGAGCATTGACTCTGTGCCAGGCAGGGTTCTCAGGGCATTTTATATGTTCATTCATTTAATCTTCCCACTAACCTAGGACATGGATACCCTGACAGCGTCATTTTTATGGGCCAAGCAACTGAAGTCCAGAGGGATGAAGTAACTTACCTGAGGTCACACAGCTTTGCGAGCATCATAAGCAATACCAGGAGGAGCAAACTCTATCATCACCAGGCAACCAACAGCTAAAAGACAAAAACACAGCCTCACATTCATTCATTCACTCATTCATTCAACAAACCCGAGCTTTGAAAACACTCATTTATTCAATCATCTCATCAATTCCTTTCATGCACCAGCGTGTGCCAGGCCTGGTGTCAGGCACGGTGGGGAACAGAACAAGGGAAAAGTCCTTGGTGCAAGGGAGAGACGGAAGCTCTGAGACAGCGATGGGTCCTGGACCACACTGAGTGGGGAGGGCAGTCCTATGAAGACCAGAGCAGGGGGTGGGCTGAACAGAGGGCTGGAAAGGAGCGAGAGGCCACCAGGGAAGGTCTTTGGGGTGACAGAGTTTGGGAAAAGTGACTTGAACACACAGAGAGGGGGGGAGTTGTGGGTGCAGGAGGAGTTTGCGATCCCAGCATGGAAAATGACAAGCACTGTGGCCCTGAGGCCGGAGGAAGCCTGGCACCAGCTTGCAAAGCAGACTAACAGAAAGGAGGATACTGGGTCTGGGAAAGAGCGAGTGGGAGAATGGCCAGCCTGGAGCAGGCAGAAGAGAGACGGGATCACCAGCGACAGCTATGACATCGCCTAAGAAGCACTTGAGACCATAGGCAGAGAGGGTATAAGATCTGATGTCCACATTTGAAAGACCACTGCGCTGGGAGATGGCACCATCAGGGGATGGAACAGGCTGCCTGGGCACAGGGACCAAGCCACTGGAGCAGAGTGGATGGTAAGCGGAAGTCAGTATCTGTGACCAAGGCACTGCCTGCCAGATCTGCTGGTGGATGGATGCAGGTAGGAAGTGAAGGGGAAAGACGGGACAACACCATGGTTGGAAAATGGATGACCTGAGTGTTATGGGCTTACAGGACTTGATAAGAGGGACAGTAGACTCATGAGTGCCATCTGCCTGGAAAGGTGGCAGGACACCTCCAAGAGGAACCAGAAAATCTCAGGCAGAAGGCAGAGTGGAGCAGGGGCGGACTAGGGTCAGCAGTGTGCAGGAGACTCTCTCTGCAAACTCAGAATGCAGAAGGTCACCTAGGGAGGGTGTGGCAGATACTGGAGCACAGGCAGAGCCCAGGAGAAGTGGCTGACAGAGCTTACATGATGGTTAATAATGACTGTCAGCTTGGCAGGGTCTAGAACCACCTAGGGGTCAACACTGGGCATGTCTCTGAGGGAGTTTCTAGATTGAGCTAATTGAGGTCGGAAGATGCGCTCTGAATGTGAGAAGCACCATCCCATGGTCCTGGGTCAGAGAAAGAGAAGAGAGTGAGCTGAGTATTAGCATTCATTTCTTTGTCTAGCGGCCTTACACTCCTACCGCCATGATTGCCCCACCATGATGGACTGCGCACCCTCTAACTGCGAGTCAGAATAAACCCTCCCTTCCTTCTGTAGCTTTTGTCAGAGCAATAAAACTCATAGTTAATACAGCCTGGGAGGTTGCCATGTCCCAGGAATGTAGATATGTCCCAGGTGTGTCAGCTTTATCCTTTTAAAAGGGAGGCAGACAACCACGACCAGGGAGGGAGGCAAACAGGAACCTATGATGTCCTGGAACAAGACCTTTAGACAGGAAAGGGTCTGGTTTCAAAGCTGTTGAAAAAGAGGTGGGAAAGACCCATCCCTTTGGATTGTGGAAGCCACTTCCTGGAGGCATGTCCACTATCTCCAGGTCCCAAGCTTCCAGTTCAGTTCATGAGCGACCCACTTCCCTCTGTGAACAGTCCCAAGAAGCCACTGGCCAGGTACTAGGTACTTTCTGGTCCAGTCTACTAGACATAGGCCTTCCCGGCCACACAGGGTGACCATGCATGGGGAGCTTTCTGGGACTCTGTCACAATATCTCAGCCTCCCCCATACTCAACGTGACAGCTCCAGCCAGGAGCTCAGCCTGCCCCTGTCTGAGATCACTGAGAGGGCCACATATTCAGAGGTGTCATTGGTCTCCAGAAGTGTCACTTGTCACCAACCATGATCAGAAACAGATCTGAGATCGTCTCTAGCTGCCTTTTCTTCCCCATCCTCCGTCTCCTGTCCCACAGGAGCCTCTGGCCTAGCCATCTCTCTTGCTCAGGGATCTCTGGTCTTATCATTCCTGGTTGACCTCCTCCCTCTCTTCTAGATGTGTTCTCTCCCACTGTCTGCTGAGGAGCAATGGGAAGACTCACAAGCTATAGTGAGAGACGGTGACGGTGACAGTGACGACCATAACAACAACCACAGTGGTGCTGACAGAGACTGCGAGGATGCTGATGATGGCAATGATTCTGTAGACTAATGCGGTCCCCTTGCCTCGTTCACCCTGACTGATCAAATGCAACGTTTTATCCACCAGATTCAGAAAAGACGCTCTGACCTTGACCTCAGCGGAGTGACAGCCACAGTGTTGCTTATTAAGCGCTCACTGTATGCATGGTCTGGGCTAGGCTCCTTCCATTCTGACTCCAGTGGTAGGAGACAAATGCTCTTTGTACACATACTTTACAGTTTGCAAAGGTTGAGTTACTAAGAGGAATGAATTGTGGGCCGGAGTTTAGAAACGGAGTGGAAGAGACTCAGGCTCCAGGAATGATGGGTAACAGCAGTGCCACCTCTGTCACCAGAAATGGGGAGCTGGGACTACACATTGTCTTAGGCGTTGGGCAGGATGGGGCAAACCCCTTTGAACTATGCCTGTGAGGAGCATTTGTGGGTACCCGGCCTGTGGCACCTGATTTAGCTGCTAGAGAATGAAGAGGGACGGAGGCTTGAGAGGTACTGTGTCTGCGTGTCCCCTGGGGAATGTGGCAGCCTTTGCATTTTTGTGGCATGAAGCGGAAATTTGAGATAATAAAGAAAAGGGGGAAAGAGAGACAGAAATAAGAAAGAAAAAGCAAGGAAACAATAAACTGTTAGCATCTCATAGGCGCCAGGCTGGGCGAGGAAACCGCTAATGAGCCCCAGCTTCTAATTCAAACCAGACAGATAAAAGCCACGTGGTCCTGGTCCCAGTGAGCATGGAGTGCATCCCCACCCCCCAAAGCCCAGGCTGGGGTGCTCTGCCCAGAGAAGAGCAACCTCAGCTGCTGTCTGCCTAGCCCCCCAGCAAGCCTGAGTGATGACGCCCCAGTCGGCCTGCTCTGGAGATCTATAAAGACATGAACTTCAGCTCACTTCCTCTAAATGCATATTAATTTGTTTAACCAACTTCCTTGTATTTTGACTATTAGGCCAGGAGTTCACCCTTCCAAGTACTCTGACTTCCTTGTAAAAATTTCAGAAGCAGGAGCCTGGGCAAACTACAGTTGGGAGTCCAGGAGTGGAACCCAGCGTCATCTGCACCCAACAGACAGAGAATTAACCTCTGTGTGCCTGGCTTAGTTTCCTCAGTGCTCCCCAACTCATCCCTAGCGACAGCCTGCCTATTAGTCTCATAACTAACACACAGCAGCTCTCTCTCTCTCTCTCTCTCTCTCTCTCTCTCTCTCTCTCTCTGTGTGTGTGTGTGTGTGTGTGTGTGTGTGTGTCTGACTCTGTACCACCCCCACCTGCGCATCCATCCATGAGTATCAAGGCCAACTCCACATCTTGGTTGTGGGGCATCACACCGCCATGAGCATGGGGAGCAGGATTTCCTCCACATTGAGATCTCATGTTTCCGAATAAATACCCAGAGAGGGATTCCTGTACCAGAAGCTGGCTCCATTTTAATGTTCTGAAGCACCTCAATGTTGCTCACCACCTAGGTGCTCATCTGCATTCCCAGATGTTCCTCCTCCACGTCCTTGCTACTGTGGACTCTAACAACCCCGTTCCTGCAGGTACATCCAAAGGAGAGGAAGTCAGCCTGACCCTCCCGTGTTCCCTGTACCTCTAGCCACAGTAGCTCAGATCCAGACTCAACCTAGGGAATGACTGGATAGAGAAAATGTAGTATCATTATAACCATTGTGCTGGCTAACACTGATATCAACAGGACAGGATCCCCTAGGAGATACAGCCCTGGGCCTGGCTGTGAGGGAATCTCTAGACGAGGCTAACTGAAGTGGCAAAGACCCACCCTGAATGTGTACAGCAGCAGCATCCCCATGGGCTGGAATTCAGGACTGAATTAAAAGAATAAAATGAACTGAACATCCTTCCCTCTGATTGCAGATGTGACATGATCTGCTGCCTGGTGAACTGTGCCCTCGAGTCATGAGTCAGGGCAAACCCTTGCTTCTCACACCACTTTCGCCAGGCATTTTGCCACAGCAATAGGAAAAGAGGCACATACACATACAACGGAATGTTATTCAGCCATAAAAAAGAATGAGATTCCGCCATTCGAGGCAGCGTGGAGGAGCCTGGCAGATGCTATGAAGTGAAATAAGCCAGGCACGGAAGAATAAAGACCAGCGCAGGCTCATTCCCGTGTGAAAGCTGAAGTTGCTTCTCATGGAAGCGGGAAGTGGAGTGTGGTCAGCAGGCCAGGAAGGGGGTGGGGTGAGGAGAATCAGGGAGACAGGCTGGTGAACATGTTCAGAAACAGCTGGGAAGACTGCTTTCTAGCTAACTATAGCACAGCTGGGCGACCACTGCCCACCACCCACAGAAGTTCACACTGACTGGAAGACCGAAAACTCCCAACACAAGTGATAGAGGGTAGGAACGATGAGCATACCCGTTTCCCTGTCTGTCCACTGGTATACCAACTAATCCCGACTGCCCTTGTGAATATGCACAGGTAGAAGTGTCAATCAAAAAAACATAAGGACCTGAGAAAAATATGTAAATTCGAGTTTAAAACACAAAGTGTGATGGAAGGGACAGAGGAAAGCACCGGTCACAGAGCCGACTTCTTGCTCTGTGAGAGGTCACAGCCCTGAGTGTCTAAGGAGGGTGGGCGCTGGTGCCTGCCTGCCTACCTGACTGAAGGCTAAAAAGTCTCATGACCTTCCTGTCTTCTTATCGGGGACATCCTGCTGTGTTCTCCCCTGGTCTCTGTGGGGTGAAATCATGACTGTCTCTCCAGCACGGAGGGCACTGTTCCTTGCATTTCTGGTCTGCGTAATCTATGCACTGCATTATAAGTAAGAGACAGGAGAACGAACGGGAGAAGAGACCGAAAGAAGAAAACTGATGTGGAGAAAAGAGCCAGGCTGGGAAATGGGGAGGAGCAGGGGACAACGATGTGTCAAAAAGCAAAAGATTCGGGAAGAAAGAGGAGGGGAAGATGTAGGATTTAGGATGGGACAGGAGAATGCCCAGCTAGGAGTGGAGGAGCCAAGGCTGACTACTCTCTTCTACCATATGAATTCCAGGAACCAAACTCGGGTCATTGGTCTTGGTGGCAAGTCCATGTACCTCCTGAGCCATCTCCTGCCCCTTCCTCAGGCTCACTCTGGATTACGGAGGAAAAGTCTGAGAGTCAGAGGGAACCCAGCCACAGGCCTGGGCTGTCTCCGTCTGTCTCATGACTCATAACTATGGGGGGCGGTATGTGTACACTCTCTCAGAAGTCACCCACCCATCCCCCTCCCACAGCCCATCCAGAGTGCTGGCATTCATTCCCCCTTCCCTCCATTCTGACCTGTGCTTGAATGCCAATGGTTCTAGAAGGTCACTAGTGGCTGGCAGCTCCAGGACCAAGTTGTCCAGAGAATAGTGAAAGTTTACAGACCCCAGGGCAATCAGGCCTCGGGTCATCAAGTGACATAGCAGACACGAACAGGGAGGCATAGGATAAACAAGGGAAAAAGTTTGATCTCTATATTAGGTGGTATTTGAGGATGCCCAGGTCCGAGCAGAGGTATAGAAAGTATTCATCCAGGTCACGAAGGCTTCTTCAACCCTGGAGCAAAGGAAAATCATGGCATGATCCGTTATACCAAACCCCTCTGTGCACGGGACCTGAGCAGGCCACTGACTGGGCTTGGGCCTTGAACAGAGGTAACTTGAGGTTGATTGGTTGGGATCAGGTCAGAGGCACTGCAGGCTGGTCAGGCAGATCTACATGAGGGCAGGTCACTCAGTCAGGATCCTATCTAGCCTACTTGACAGGTGCCTCGTCCTCTCTTTTCTCTGGGGAAGAGTGAATGCAGTAACACATGGGATATTATTTATACTTTTCAATGTGTTCTTTTTGAGATGGGGACCCTCACATAATCTAAGCTGATGGCTTTGAAATCTGGATCCTTCTTCCTCCACCTCCCCAAAACTGAGATTGCAGGTATGTACCACCATGCCTGACTTTTAATGTGTTTTTTTCCCTAACCACATAATCCATCCTGCTACACTGCACACACCTGTGGTCTTTGTTTCAAGATCACACAATCATCATCATTATCTAATTCCAGAATATTCCATCATCCTGAAATTTTTATTCCTCCCTTATCTCAGCCTCTAGTGACTAGCAATATCCTTTTTGTCTCTATGGTTTTGTATGTCCTGGGCATTTCAATGACTGGAGTCGTTTTGGTGTGTGATCTTTTGTATCTAAGTCTTTTCACTTAGCAGTGTTTCTATATGGTAACATGTGTGAATATTCCGTTCCTTTCATGGCTGTGTAATATTCATGGGCTTATGTCTCAGTTTTCTCACTCATTCGTGTAGGATGATCTTGAGTGCACTTAGGTTCTAGACCCAGTACTCAAGTGTTCTCGGGCCAGAGCAGACCAGGCAAAGGATCTCTGTTTAGAAAGAGGAGGTGTGCATGGCATAAGGAGCTCAGTGGCCAATCCTACCCCCCGTTAAGTGCCCAAGAGCCTTCCAGAAGCGTCTTGAATTCTGAACATTGAGAATGATTGCTATCTATAGTATAAGTACTCTGCCATGTTCAACCCAATCCACAGTTACCACAGCCCCAGCAGAACTCATGGGAGTGGGTCCATAGGCATGGTGTGAGTGATCAACTAACAGTTGGATAGAACGGACTAGATGGAGGGAGGGAGGGATGCAAGTGTGAGTGAGAAGATCAGAGGAATGAAAAGCAGAGAAGGTGGATGGATAGAAAGGGATGGGTGCCATAGAAAACAGCCTCTTCAAGAATAACTGCTGGGAGCAGTGACTCATGCTTGGCATCAATACTTCCATGAGCTGAGGCAGGAGGATCACCAGCATACCAAAGCCAGTGTGGTCAACGGAGTACAAGGAATACAACAACATAACTTTTGGGAAAAGCAGGGGTGCATCTTATGCACATATGTATATGCAAGCATGGAATCTCCTACAAGTTAACAATAAATAAAACTGTTGGGTGGTGGTGGCACAAGCCTTTAATCGCAGCACTCGGGAGGCAGAAACAGAGGCAGATGGATCTCTGTGAGTTTGAGGCTGGCCTGGTCTACAAAGTGAGTGCTAGGACAGGCTCCAAAAGCTACAGAAAAACCCTGTCTCAAAAAATTGAAAGGAAAAGAAAAGAAAAAAAAGAAAGGGATGGGTGGCCTAAGGGTTGTTAGGTAAGTGACAGTGACTGTGTGGATGAATAGAGGCCTGACTGGGAAGATGAATGGATAGCTGAATGGATGAGTAAAAACATGGATGAGTGGGCAGGCAGATGGATTAGTGATGCATGTGTGATTGGAAAATCAGGAAGGTAGATGGGTAAATTATTGGGAAGACAGATGATTGATAAGATAGGTAGATGGATGGATGAATGGATGGATGTATGGATGGATGGATGGATGACTAGATAGATGGATGATGGAAGATTGGGAAGATGGATGGATGGATGGACAAATGAATGATTAAATGGTGGATGGATGGATGGATGGATGGATGGATAGATGTGAAGATGAGTGGGCAAATGAATGGGTAGATGAATGGGTGGGTGAATGAATAGGTGGGTAAGCAAACACATGGATGGTTGAACTGATGAGTCAATTAGAGGATGGGGTTTGTGCTACATCCTTGTCAAGCTCCACTGTACATATGGCAGAGATGAACTGATGGACAGAGAATCCTAGCACAAGGCACAAGAGCCAAGGGGTCCATTACTCAGGTGGTGACTCTCAAGTAGTGGGAGGAAGTAATCTTTAATCCTTGGATTTCAGACTGAAAGGACCTCACTGCACTCAGTTCTGGAGTTTAGTGCGGTGCTTAGCAGCTTAATCGCACTGTTGACTGAAGGAATGGCTTCAAGGAGTGAGGAGTTTGTTTCCCACCCAGTGTGTGAACTAAGAACATAACACTCATTTTGTAAATTGAGGGAAGTTGCCCAGCATGCCTACGGGCAGAGTGTGGAATCTCTGGAGCCTGGAAACCCCACACTCTTCCCCACTCCTAAAAGACTTCCTGGTTCTGTCAATCAGATGTGGAATTTCCAGCCCTTGGATTTCATGTTCTCTTCTCTAGGACAAGGAGGTACCTGAACCTACCACATGTCTATTTGAGGGTGGAGTGTGTGTGGGGGGGGGGAGAGACAGACAGAGACAGAGACACACAGAGACACACAGAGAGAGAGACAGATAGACAGACAGGCAGGCAGGCAGAGACAGAGACAGGGGAGAGAGACAGAGAGACTATTGTGGACCAATTTATAAATAAAGCTTTATTGGCACATGGCCAGGTTTAGTCATAAATGTCAATGGTAGCTGTTTTTAGGCTATAGTGCCAGAACAAAAGAGTTGCCTCAGAGACTGAAGGCCTGCAAAACCCCAGACTTACTGTCTAGCTCTTTGTGGAAAAAGAGGGCTGATTTCCACTATGGAGAACTTTCCCCCAGGTCCTGATGGGCACCTTCTTCTACTCTTTAGGAATCATTCCCAAGACTCCACAAAGATCTGATTATTATAGATCTGAGTGAGGCCTGAGCATCATCTTGCATGTTTATAACTTTGTGTGTGTTCATGTGTATACATGTATGGGGTGCACATATACATGTATGCGAGCATATGAGGTCAGAGGTTAACGTTGTGTGCCTTCCTCGATCACACAGCACCTTATTTGATGCAGTGTTTCTCACTGAGCCCAGAGCTCACCGATTCAGTTAGCCTAGCTGGCCACTGAGCCACAGGGAGGCTCGTGTCTCTGCCTCTCCAGAGCTGGGACTCCAAGCATGCACCACGGCACTCAACTTTGCCTGTGGGTCTTAGGGATCTGAACTCAAGTCTCCACG